TTGTTGTTTTAGATTCATCTACTTGGAACAAAACGTTTCAAGCAAAAAGTAGTACTCACCTGGCACAGGCGATGTGCTAAAGCAAATGTTCTCTTTATCAACCGTAAAAATACCACAAAAAATCTTGTATGTCGATTGATTGATTAAGATTAAGCCACCAAAAAGGGGGCACGGGCATGTTGTTGTTTTTAGATTTAGCTACTCAGAATAAAATGTCCATGTAGCACGGGCTATGGTGAGCCCGTAATTGAGTTCGGTTATTCGCGATAACCTTGTTACTGTGATATTTGGGTCAAAGTTTTAAATGGCGGTGGGGTTTCCTCCTTTTCTCCCGCTTCTTTTCCGCTTCTGTTTTAGCGCACTGGTCTTGTTTTAGTCTTGTTTTAATAACATTGTCTTGATGGCGGATATAGACGCACAGTGTTCACTAGTGTGGCCCATTCTTACACTGCTTTTTTAACCATTGTAGTCGCTGTGGATTTTGCATCTAATGCAGCTGGTCTTGTTGGATGAATGTTGAGTTTGATGCGCAGGGCTTCAGTTGCTTCACATAATGAAGCAACTGTAAGTAGTGTAATAGTGGCGCTTCTGCTTCTGTTCCACAGATATGACACTAACTATTGGGTTTATTACCTCCCAGCAGCACTTGTAGCCAAGTCTGAGTCTGTGTATGGCTACTGCAATGTTTGGGTAGGTTTTTGCCAGGCTTGAAAGAGTGGTTCCCAGTGGCTTGTTCGTACCACATCGCAGTGGATCTTCCTTCTGCTACTTTGGCTCTGTGACGACTTCTGATAGTCGGGAGTATTTTCTTCTTGATTTGCTTCTTAATCTGAGAAAATTGGAGGTATTTTAACCTGTACAACAGGTAAAGCAGTGACAGTTTTTGCTAGTGAGTCTGCCATTCATTACCATCTATGATCTATGCCAATGTGACTTGGTATCCAATTTAGAGTGACAGCCCTAAATTGTGTGCTTCTTTTCCTATATGTAGGATTTCCGTGATGAGTTGTATATTATCTCTGTGCAGGCTGAATAGCAATGCCTGGAGCGAAAATTTAGAATCGGTGTATGTCGATTGATTGAAGGAAATTAAGCCACGCAAGAGGTGGCACGGGCAAGAATAGCCCGTAAGGTGTATATTGTTGTTTCAGATTTAGCTACTCAGAACGTGTAGCACGGGCTATGGTGAGCCCCCAAAAGGTGTATATCGTTACCATGTCTTATATTTCGTCTCCGGGTGAGGTGAGGTCTAATTCTCAAAGGCTTTTGTAGTTTAAAATTTGAAGTTCTTGGCCGATCTTCGTTGTGCACTTCTAAGCCTTTGCTAATTTGTCTCTGAAAATAGTTTCTAGTTGTTTTCAGACGAGTGTTCGAGGCTTAGAGATGACTCGGTGAATGAAGAATAAAGTGTTCTGCAATACATATAAATATATATATGTATATTTATATATACATATTATATGTAGGTTATCGTGCATTTTTAACAATCTTCTTGTGTCACTGCTTCGTTCATCAATATTGTTTCGTTCGCTGACATTGATGTGAACGTCCCCACCTTCTCATATTGGTTTCTTGCATATACGGTATTAGGAAAGGTCCTGGTGCTGACGCCTCGTGGTGCTGACCTCCCTCGTGGTGCTGACGCCTCGTGGTGCTGACCCCCCCTCGTGGTGCTGACCCCTCGTGGTGCTGACCCCCCCTCGTGGTGCTGACCCCCCCTCGTGGTGCTGACCCCCCCTCGTGGTGCTGACCCCCTCGTAGTGCTGAACTCCCTCGTGGTGCTGAACTCCCTCGTGGTGCTGAACTCCCTCGTGGTGCTGACCCCCTCGTGGTGCTGAACTCCCTCGTGGTGCTGAACTCCCTCGTGGTGCTGACCTCCCTCGTGGCACGTCACCTATGACCTTCATCCACTCTGAATGCTCTACTCTAAGCGTAACTCTGTTCCCTATCCGGTGGGTACTCTCTAATCCAGTTTATCACCCTCCAGGATAATCTTGCTTGAAACTCGAGCTTGTATAGAAGCCTCATATGAGGAACTGTATCGCATGTCTTCCAGTCACGTTCCAGGAGTCACTTGTCTGGAAAACACAAGTGACTCATGGTTCCCTTGCCTGCATTATCGCTATTACGTTGTCCAGAAACTGCAGCGTGTTCGTTAACTCGACGTTAGCGTCCAGACTGTCTTGGTAACCGGAGCTTCTCGGCCCCCCCCCACCCCTCCCCTGCAAAAAAAAAAAAATGCGATTAAATAATATATATATTTGTCATATCTAATTGCCAGCACCGTACTACTTGGCCTAGTAGACAAAGCCAGATTTGCCCAAAAGGCCTAGCAATTTTAGTTAGTTTCAAATATTTTCAAATTAATGTATTCCAAATAATGTAATAATATCAAGAGCATGAATTACCGACTTACCTTGAGGTGCTTCCGGGGCTTAGTGTCCCCGCGGCCCGGTCGTCGACCAGGCCTGCTGGGTTAGGTTTGATCAAGTTTTTGTTAGTTTTAAATCAAATTAAAAAAAATTGTCATATATATATTGCAATGGAAAGTTTTATCTTTCCATGAGAAAACCAATTTGAAAAATATGTAATTTCAGAAAAATTCGGCTTGTTACGCAACTTGGTTTATTATTTTCTATACCAACTGGCCATCAACCCATGATGGCTAGTTGGTATAGAAAATTATACAAAGAATTGTTTGCAGTTACTTATTAAGAGGATGAAAGCAAACATGGTTACTTCTAAAATACATCATTAACAAAGAATACAATATAATTTACTTAAATTTCAACGTTCCAGCACATCAACTTGTAGGGGTGACTACACCCCAAGAGGAAGAAAATGACTTCCTAAGGGGCCAAGTGTAGGTAGGACTTACCTTACCCTAACCCAACTTAACCTATCTTAACCCAACCTAACTTATCCTGACCTCACCAAATCTAATCTAACCTAACTTGTCCTTTAAATATAGGCTACATACGCTTCTAATTTTCCATTGGCATTTACTGTATAGTTTGTGTAGCGAGATGCCGTAAATCATTACTAGTTATCTGGGCCAGCTGTTTACCAGCTGCGAAACTAAGTAACCCAGGATTATTAATGTTAGACATCATCGTAGTGTTTCTGAGCTCATACAATGTTTAATAAATGCAACTAAGCTGCCGTGATTGAGGCAGGATGTACAGGTTTCGCTAGCGGACACGTAGATACTTGGTGAAGCCTGACCCTGGCTAGGCTTCACCTGACCTGACCTTCACGTTTAGACCTGTGGGCCTACGAATCCCTCAGGATTCCTTAGGAAATTTCATCAGTGCCTGACGTTTTTCGTCTCTTCCAGCTCCTCTAATTGCATTGTCTTTTTTTTTTAATGACTGTACAACAGTTGTTGTTCTTTTGGCCTCGACGCTGTCACTTATTGTGCTTCTCTGCCTGCCAACATACTGTAGTAGGTGACTGTACCAGTCATGATTTCCCTTGTGTCCTGCAGTATAGGTATTATTTCCATACCCATTTTGTTAGGCTTTTTTTCCCAAACACAATTACAAATCTCGGTTTAGTAGAGAGAGAGCGACAGAACACGAGAACAAAAGAGCGAGAGAACGAGAACGAGCGCGCGCATGTGTTCTTGTGTATAATAAACATTTGAAATACGCAAACTGCAAGCGTTAATACAATATAACAGCTATGAAGACAGTTTAATAACATTAAACTTGAGGAATGAATGTTTCGGTAAAGCAATAACTCAAATAAAAAAATATAGAAAAAGAAAGAATAAGAATGAGAGGCACTTGCAATTTTATACTTCTCAAAATTTCCATTTCTAAGAAGTACACGAGGCATATATACAACAAGCTAGGGGGGGACACGATGAACAAATTACTCCAGAATTATAAAAATCAAATGGTAGAATAAATAATGGTTACTGAAGAAGCAAATATAATTTATGCAATAAATTCAGAGGATAAGAAAGGTGATATTAATTACTGACTTTCCGAGCGCCAGCGAGCCGTAAGGCAGGTGGATGCAAGGACAACGTATGGGGTTAATTACACGCAACTGGAACTTGTGACAAAATTAGCAACAAATTAAATAATTTGATAGGTAATTAGATTAAGCATCTAATATTACAATTTAGCAAAATTTAAAGTGTATCCACTGTATGAAAACGAAAAAGGAGCTATACAATTATATTTTCTTGAACAAAGTATTTTCCAGGTGAAGTTGATTACATATTTTCAGACGCCTATTCCCCCTTTGATATAGTACAAGTAGTATGTTATAGTGAATCTATCTCCATCTCTCAAGAAGTGACTGCAAGACAGCTAAAAGAGACAATCAATAACTATAGCGCCTTTCTGAAGTCTGTATTGACCGCGCAGGAGCAGTAAGCCAACACCCACTTGTGGCAGATGTATGATGATCGCCGGAATTGCTTCTTTAAAGATCGTTGATTTACCTAGCAATATATGCAGAATTTAGCTTTTATATAAGATATGTAATCTCTAACAAGTAGTTGAAATGGCATTTAATTAACTTAAAAATATTTATATTGTAATCCTAGTATGGGAATTTATTAATCTATACATGTAAAGTTTACAGTTTGGATGTACAACGAGATTTACAACGCCCGTTACTGAGTATATTATAACACTTAAATGTTATCCTTAGTTGAGATTCTAATTATAGTTATATAAATATCTAGGACGCCTGAAAATATGGAGTTTTCGGTGTATTTCTAATGAGCTCTCCAGATGATTTCATACGAAAAATGTATGGTGCTGTTCAAACACAGTTAGCTAAATCATCAGAAACATAAAATATAATTAAGCACAGGAAATAACTCTAACTATTGTTACAGTTATAACTGTGTTATAATTCTAACACAGGAAATAACTATTTTAAAATGAGCATGTGGAAACATTTAAAAGAAAACGACAACTTTGTGACATGCGTACGAGAGCAGCGCTGCGGATAAACAAGGTTCCAGTAACCTGGGGAGACGAGTTTCAGCAGTCAGTGCATTGTGACTCGTTGGAGGGTGAGCACCTAGAGAATTTGGGCAAAATGACATTATTTGTGTTTTATTCTGTACTTCATAGTGTGCTGTGGGCATCGTCATACGCCGCCGGATATGTCGAGGTTAGTAGAAGATACATTTTGTGTGTGTGTTATTCGGAATCAGGTGTGATGTTAACATTTGGGCGAAATGTCCCTGGGATTTCTGGGCAGGGATGATGGCGTTCCCATCGATTCCCCAACACTTATTTTGTTTGTGCTCTTTTGCTGGATCTAGAATGTCTGCATGCCTGAGTCTGCACATTATCTCGTATGCATGATGCTGCGTCAGTCATTGCAATTAGTTTTACGTGAGCTTTAGGCGGACTTATTTTTTTTTTTTAATAAGAGGAACAATATTCCGTAGCAAAACATTAAGTGGTAACTGAAACCACCTGGTGAGGGTGAGATGCCTTCCTTATCTTCACTGGTAAGGGTAGGTTGCTTACCTCATCACTGGCCAGGGTGGGGCGCCTTCCCCACTGTCACTGGCCAGGGTGGGGCGCCTTCCCCACTGTCACTGGCCAGGGTGGGGCGCCTTCCCCACTGTCACTGGCCAGGGTGGGGCGCCTTCCCCACCGTCACTGGCCAGGGTGAGGCGCCTTCCCCACTGTCACTGGCCAGGGTGGGGCGCCTTCCCCACTGTCACTGGCCAGGGTGGGGCGCCTTCCCCACTGTCACTGGCCAGGGTGGGGCGCCTTCCCCACCGTCACTGGCCAGGGTGGGGCGCCTTCCCCACCGTCACTGGCCAGGGTGGGGCGCCTTCCCCACCGTCACTGGCCAGGGTGGGGCGCCTTCCCCACCGTCACTGGCCAGGGTGGGGCGCCTTCCCCACCGTCACTGGCCAGGGTGGGGCGCCTTCCCCACTGTCACTGGCCAGGGTGGGGCGCCTTCCCCACTGTCACTGGCCAGGGTGGGGCGCCTTCCCCACCGTCACTGGCCAGGGTGGGGCGCCTTCCCCACCGTCACTGGCCAGGGTGGGGCGCCTTCCCCACCGTCACTGGCCAGGGTGGGGCGCCTTCCCCACCGTCACTGGCCAGGGTGGGGCATCTTCCCCACCGTCACTGGCCAGGGTGGGGCATCTTCCCCACCGTCACTGGCCAGGGTGGGGCATCTTCCCCACCGTCACTGGCCAGGGTGGGGCATCTTCCCCACCGTCACTGGCCAGAGTGGGGCATCTTCCCCACCGTCACTGGCGAGTGTGGGGCATCTTCCCCACTGTCACTGGCGAGGGTCGGGTGTCTTCCCCACGGTCACTGCCGAGGGTGGAACGTCACTGGCGAGGGTGGGGGTGACTTCCCCACCCTCGTCACTGGCGAGGGTGGGGGTGACTTCCCCACCCTCGTCACTGGCGAGGGTGGGGGTGACTTCCCCACCCTCGTCACTGGCGAGGGTGGGGGTGACTTCCCCACCCTCGTCACTGGCGAGGGTGGGGGTGACTTCCCCACCCTCGTCACTGGCGAGGGTGGGGGTGACTTCCCCACCCTCGTCACTGGCGAGGGTGGGGGTGACTTCCCCACCCTCGTCACTGGCGAGGGTGGGGGTGACTTCCCCACCCTCGTCACTGGCGAGGGTGGGGGTGACTTCCCCACCCTCGTCACTGGCGAGGGTGGGGGTGACTTCCCCACCCTCGTCACTGGCGAGGGTGGGGGTGACTTCCCCACCCTCGTCACTGGCGAGGGTGGGGGTGACTTCCCCACCCTCGTCACTGGCGAGGGTGGGGGTGACTTCCCCACCCTCGTCACTGGCGAGGGTGGGGGTGACTTCCCCACCCTCGTCACTGGCGAGGGTGGGGTGACTTCCCCACCCTCGTCACTGGCGAGGGTGGGGGTGACTTCCCCACCCTCGTCACTGGCGAGGGTGGGGTGACTTCCCCACCCTCGTCACTGGCGCGGGTGGGGTGACTTCCCCACCCTCGTCCCTGGCGAGGGTGGGCCTCATTCCTCGACTGTCCCTGGTGAGGGTCGAGGAACACCCCCAAATATTTTGGGGTATTAAGTAAATAATTGAATAAATTTCAGTTTGCCACTTTTCAATTGCAGTATAAATAAACTTTTAAGGAAGGTTTACGGGTGTAAAAGGTTTATATTTACGTATCTGAATTTACCTGAGGTCCACTAACACTTTCGCGGCCTCTATGAGGACAGGAAGCCGGTGGGTCGTCAAAGGTACCCACATTTGCCCGTAATCTCTACATTAGACCATAGTCATCCTCTTGTCATTGAACTAAGGCACATATTGCCAACTTGTCCTCACTGGTGTGCAGTAATAGATCTGACTAGGGAAATATAAATTACATTTTATTCTAGAAGACATTTATTCAATTAATGATGGTATCTAATGCTTCCCGTGCAACTCATTTTCTTTTCTTTTTTGTATATGGAGGAAGGCTAAAACTATTGAATGTCTATTAGGGCATTTCAATTCTAGCTTTGGTTAGATTAGGCACTTAATAAATCTTTAGTAAACAAAAAACTGGCAGTATTGTGGTAAATACCGCAAAAGTACAATATTGGATATACAACTTATCGAGTCTTGAGTGCTTTTGCAGAGGTGTGCAAATAGCACAATAACCCAGGGGCCT